ATGGGCAGAGCCAGAGGCCGGCTGGCTCTGCCCATTCAGAAAAGTTTAAGTTTGTTGAATATATTCTTGAAGCTGGTAGCTATGAAACTTGCAAATCAATGTTAATGTTTCAAACTGAAGATGAGGAAAATGGTTATAACTCACCCTATTGTATAATTAATGATTCAAGAATATATATGTCGGCAGCTACGTTAATAATTTATATTAAAAATCTAATAATAATAAAATTTTATTGTTTAATTGAGTTAATTTTATCTTTTTGAAATTTATCATAATTGTTTTTAAATTTATTGATTGCCGCCTTAGGTGTAGCTCCCGAGGCTTCTATGACCGAATTAGGAAAATAATTCCATACTTGTGTGACCCTGTTTGATAAAAAGTTATCTCTAAACTTCACAGCTTTACTATAATCATTTGCTTGTCTGCTAGAGTATATGTCTTTCTGGAGTTGATGAATATTAAATGTTCTCAAATTAGTTGATTGTTTCATATTGAAAAATGAGTCTTCGATGTTTATTATCTTATTAGTTATTTTAAAAGTTTCGATACAGTCGCCTCTTTCTCTTCTTTTAGCTAATGACGTTAAGCCTAAGTTAGCTAGTCGGTTTGCGTAGGTAGTATTAGGTTGGCTCCATTTCGTAGCTCTTTTTTGAACTTTTTCAATTTTATCAATGTCACTGGCTAAAGAGGGATTCCAGGCAGTAGAAGCGTATTCTAGATGTGGTCTAACAAGACTGGTGTAAAGTTTTTTCCAAAGTTCTTTTTCACGACAAGTGAAAGTATTTTTTAGCATTTTTAATTCGCTGTTTGCTTTATTCGTTATTTTATCAATGTGTGGCTTCCATTTTAAATCCGAGCTTAGTATTACACCTAAATCTCTTTCTTCTGTGGTAGTTTCAAGAGTGTGCATATTATTATTTGATGACGTATCTTGCATCTGATATTTAAAATTGTTATTAAACTTACCGAAATGCATAACTTTGCATTTCTTAGTATTAAGCTTTGTTAACCAAGTCTTGGACCAATTTTGAACTTTATTGAGATCGTTTGTAAGTTTAACGACTGCTGATGCGTGTCTACAATTAAAATTATTTTAGTGTCGTCCGCGAATAGTTTACTAGTGTTGTCTAATAGACGTGGTGAGTCGTTAATGTAGATGTTGAATAATTGAGGCCCTAAAACTGAGCCCTGTGGTACTCCGCTTGTAACATTACACCAGTCAGAGACCGTTTCCCCTAGTACTACTCTCTGACGACGATTAGAGAGAAAGGCCCTTATCCATTTAACAAGATCGTTTTCGATTCCATAAGATAATAGTTTCGCTAACAGTCTTTTATGTGGCACAGTATCAAACACTTTTGCGTAGTCCAAGTAGATTACGTCCACATTGTGACCCTGAGCTAGGGCCTTAGTTATAGTATTAAGAGTTTCTAACAAGTTTGATACACAGGATTTCTTAGTGGTAAATCCATGTTGAGAATTTGAAAGTAGACCATGAAGCTCTAAGTGTGCAGTTAAAGCTTCTCTTACTATTTTTTCTAAGATCTTACATACTATAGATGTTAAAGATATTTGACGATAGTTTTCAGCTAATAAACGGTTACCTTGTTTAAATACAGGAGTAACATTTGTTTCTGTCCAGTTTTTTGGTACCGTTTGTGTTGCAAGGCTCTTTTTAAATATATGGCTTAGTGGTATCGCGATAGCCACTGATGTATGTTTGAGAACAAATGGGTGAATGTTATCACCACCGATTGATTTGGATGTGTCAACGTTTTCGAGTCTGATTTTGATAGCTTGTTCGTTGATATCTTGTAGTATAGTTAACAGAGAACATTTATGTTCCGTGATTATTGGAAAAACTGGCTCATCGTCTGGTTCTTTGACAAAAACTGATTGGAATTGATTGTTAATCGTATTTGCAATATTTATCTGATCGTTTGTGATGTTACCTATCTTATCATATAGTGATCTAATTGCACGTTTTACTTGTTGACTTTTAATGATATATGCATAGATTAATTTAGGATTCTTTTTTGACTCATGAGCTAAGTGTCTTTCAAAGGCACAAGTTGATTTAAATATTTCTTTTTTTACCTGTTTAGCTGCCTTATTGTATTTTGATTTCGTTTTTTGTGTCCTACGCCAATTATTATTTTTTGCACGGTAGCAGAGTTTATGCTTGATTTTAAGAGCAATTTTTGTTTATCCATGGTTCGATATATATATATATATATATATATATATATATATATATATATATATATATATATATATATATATATATATATATATATATATATATATATATATATATATATATATATATATATATATATATATATATATATATATATATATATATATATATATGCTTATATTAAATCAAGTTTTTATTTTTGATTTATCAGTTGAAGTTAAAGAAAAAGATTTTACATATATACATATATATATATATATATATATATATATATATATATATATATATATATATATATATATATATATATATACATATATATATATATATATATATATATATATATATATATATATATATATATATATATATATATATATATATATATATATATATATATATACATATATATATAATGATGCTTTTTGATTTTTTAATTGCCTGTTTCAAAAAGTTTGAATTTAAAAAAAAGAGAATGGGTAGTCTGAAGATAAGTGGAGTAAAAAAGTTGTTTTTTCCAATGAATACACCCAAAAATACCTGTAATCTTTTCCAATTTTCTTCCCCAGAGTTATGCAAATCCTCAAGTAAACTAAAAAAATAAACTTAGATTCTGTGGCATCAAATTCAAGTAAAGTAGTTGATGATGACAATAGGGAAAAGTGTAAATGCATTGATAAGTTAAGGAAAATTGGTGATATTGGAGTTTCGTTTCGAGAGATGACAAATAAACGTGAGTTTTTTTGTTAACTTATTTTTGTTTTTGCATGAAACAAAGTTCATTGATGATTTTTTCAACAATATCATTTTCATTAAGAGATTAAACAGCAAGACTGTTTAAGCCACACATGTATGGAACTGAGAATGTAAAACTGCCAAAAAAAACATTTGTCTAAATTTGAAGATTCTTGAATCTATATATCTAATTTTTGCTTATTGCTTCTTTTGATTTGATTTCTTGTTTAGAATCTCAATATGCTTTGTTTATGGACTTGCAGAAAAATTTTTGGCAAACCCAAGAATCACAAGCACAAATCCTTGATAAGCTTAAAATAATTGAAAAAAGTGGAGATATTGATTTTGATGTAAATGTTGATGATATTGGTAGAGACCCTATTAATTCGATTGAGCAATTTGATGTAATGGAAAATATTTTAAATACAAGTTCTAATGCAAGAAAACGCAAAGTAAACCATAAAATATAGTAACAAAGTCAGTAATTTTTGCAAACCTCAAACACTTTTAGGTTGGCAGTGAGGTCAGCATTGCCGAATACTGGTTCTAATTCCGAGGGCTTATATATATTTGTAATTATAAAAATTTATTTAAAAAAGTGGACACTTATGTAGTCACAATTTATAGTCTTATAATAAGACTTTATATGGTTTTTAACTTTGGTTCAATATTTAATCTTGTTTTAGTTTTATTTGATAAAAGGTTACTCAAATGAGAGGTGTAGGAGGAGCTACTCCACGGAAAGCTGTCAAAAATGTTTTGAATGCTGTTATGACTCAAGAAATACAATCATTATTCATCAAGGATGGCAGAAAAGAGAAACGAAAGTTTAAAAGCACTGCTCGTTATAAATGCATTAAAGGTGAGTATTGAATATGAGTTGGAAGCTATTGCATCTTAATAAATTGTAAGGACCAAAATATTTTTGATCGAAACGTGAAACAGTAATTCATTACTAATTTTCTGCTATTCATTGATTGCAATTTGATTTCAATTGTTTTTTGATATCTTTAATTTAGTTTTTCGATATATAACATTCAAAAAGCTGATAACATATTTTTATTGCTTAATTTGTATTTTATAAAACCTGTCCTTTGATTTACAGCAAATTTTGAGATAAATATTTTTTCAGATGCTATTGCTGGAGACAAAAATGGATATGATGCAAGCAGCATTGATGGTGTCATTGGCGACATGCTTAAACGAGCCAAAAAGTAATATTTTTGGTTGAATAATTTTTTTAACTGTATATATATATATATATATATATATATATATATATATATATATATATATATATATATATATATATATATATATATATATACATATATATATATATATATATATATATATATATATATATATATATATATATATATATATATATATATATATATTATATATATATATATATATATATATATTTATTGTCAAAATTGTATTTATATAATAATTGTCAAAATTGTATTTATATATTAATTGTCAAAACTGTATTTATATATTTATTGTCAAAATTATTATTCTATTCATTTTTTGTAATAATTTGTGTCAATATAGAACCACATTTTTTTTTAATCAATAAATTGTTTTTGAAGTGGATTCTATAAATAAAAATATAAAAAAATTTAATAAATAGATTTATTAGGTATACTTGAATATATAATAATATTTTTATACAATTGTTTACATATTAATGGAGATTTGTTTAAATATAGTTATAAAGATGTGTATATATATATATATATATATATATATATATATATATATATATATATATATATATATATATATACATATATATACATATATATATATATATATATATATATATATATATATATATATATATATATATATATATATATATATATATATATATATATATATATATATATATATATATATATATATATATATATATTTATATATATATATATATATATATATATATATATATATATATATATATATATATATATATATATATATATATATATATATATATATATATATATATATATATATATATATGATTTTTTATTTATATATTTAATAGATAAAGCTTTTAAAATTTATCAAATCTGATCCAGTTATGGAATACAAGCGCTCATTAAAACAACATCATGTTTTTCCTACAAAAAGGTTAGTTTGATAAAGTCATAAGTTATCACTTATACAATTAGAAATAAAGAGCAAGAAGTTAAAATTTATTTTTTCTAAATTATTTTGACATTTATTTCCTTATTAAATAATCTTTCTGCAAAACATCCACTTAATGCAATTATACATGTTATACGTTAATTATACACGTATCAGGGTGTTAGCCAGGCTAATGGCACCATGTATACCGCAGAATTCTAAATGGGGTTTAAAATTCCCAAAATTCAATGACTTTTTTTTTTGAAGTAATAGACAATATCAATAAAAATTTACAATATTTTGTTCATAACAACAATAACATTAAATATTCCCAATATCGTTAAGACATGGTAAAAAGTATATTCCTGGCTAACACCTTGCATATATATTTTTGTTACATTTAGATTATATGCATAATGCATATAATCTAAAGCAGTGAGCAAAACAAATGGGTTGAATAGTTTGAGAATTATTTGCATAATGTCTTATTTAGCAAGCGAATAACCCAGTGGCAAAATTTGAGAAGATCTGTGCATAACCTTTCACAGTCAATTCAAACAAACAATAACCTTAAGTCGGATAGTTGTAGCTTCTATAGTTCTTCCGCTTTTATGCCAAGCGGGAACGAGTCTTCATACAAAACATGTGCATCTCAAGAAACTATACTTTCAGAACCAAATGGTAACCAAGCAAAAGGTTTACATGAGATATCAATTGATAATGAGCTGCATAATGATATGGCACCATTAGAACCATTACGAAATGAACTTCAGCACTGGAGTTTGAAACATGGCTGTACCAGACAATGTGTAAACGACTTATTAAATATTTTGAAATGGTCACAAGGTATTGCCAAAAGATGCAAGATCACTTTTGTTTACTCCAAGGGTTGTTTCAACAACTTCCATACATGTTGAAGGAAAATATAAATATTTTGGAGTAATACAGGGCATTAAAAATTTTTTTAAACTCAATATAAAACTAATTATATATAACTTATTATATCATCAACTAATTACATATATAAAAAAAATAAACTCAAATAAAATTAATATCAAATGTAGACGAATTCGCTATTTTTAAATCCAGTTCATATCAAATATGGTCTATACTGTGTCAATTTGAGCACTTTAAACCTTTTGTGGTTGCATTGTATGGTGGTGTAAAGAAGCCAATTGCATCAGAGTTCTTAAATGACTTTGCTGAAGAGCTGCAAACCTTTGATAGTCCTATTGCAATATGCGGGAAAGAGTATAGTATTTCTGTATTTTCTATTTCATGTAATTCACCTGCTAGGTCACTTTTAAAGGGTACTGTTGAACATTCGGGATATCATTCATGTGAGCGATGTAATGAAGTTGGTATTTCAATAAGGAATCGTATTGTCTCTACCAATACACAATTAAATATTCTACTCAGAATAAATGCTGAATTAAAAGCTGGAATTTATTCTCAGGCTGACAGCTTTGGTCGGTGTCACTATCATTCATTAACTCCTTTATATAACGTTAATAGTTTAGATATGGTTTGCGATTTTACTCTTGATTATATGCACTTAGTTTGTTTGGGAGCCATGCGTCGTATTCTTAATTATTTTAAAGGTGCATATACTGAAACTTCAAAGGGGCGTTTATCAGCTTCTTGTATTGGTCAAATTTCTTATTTTCTCACTAGTTTAAATGGCAAATTACCAATTGAATTTGCACGTCAACCTAGGTCATTAATTGAGTTAAATAGATGGAAAGCTACAGAGTTTAGAATGTTTTTATTGTATGTTGGAATAGTTGTTTTAAAGGGTATTCTTGATCATAAGGTGTACAAAAATTTCTAGAGCTTAGTATTATCCATGCATATGTTATGTGAGAAGGACAGTAATAAAAGAAGGATGTATTTAGATTCAGCTAGACAACTTCTACTTTACTTTGTCTCAAATTGTCATGAACATTATGGTGACACTTTTTGTGTGTACAATATTCAGTCTTATTCATATTGCTGATGATCTGGAACATTTTGATGCACCTTTAGACTTTTTTTCCTGTTTTCAGTTTGAAAATCATTTACAAATGCTTAAACGTTTAGTTCGAGGACAAAATAATCCTTTAATAGAAATCTCAAAGCGTCTCAGTGAATCAAAGGGCAGTGATTTGTGTCAAGAAAGAACTGTTACAAAAATTGACACATCTAAGAGTTCTTGCTTTTTGACAAAAAGTCATGTTATTTTTGTAAAAGAAATTTTGGTTAATGGTGAGTTATTTTGTGAAAAGAAAGCTTGGACAATTTTTTTGACGATTTCGTTGAGTCTAAGACTTTTGATATTTATTGCCTTAGAGCAAACAGTGCTCGTATGAGCCGTAAAATTAGCAAAGATAAATTATTGCGGAAATGTTTGTGCTTAGCATTTAAAAATAATCATATAGTTATCTCTTTATTGAATAATGTTAAATTTTAATGTTATGTTTGTAAGTAAATAAATGAGTTTATAATCATAAATTGTGCTTTTTTCTAAGAAATTTTAGAACCATTCTACTCGTAGAATGGTTCCAAATTTCGCTAAATTTATCTGATATAACTGTTACTGTAATTTTTTTGTAATGTAATCAATTGTTGTTGATTAAAAGGTAATGAGGTTTTTTTGTTTTGTTGTGCCTAAAAAGTGTTTTCCCTGTAAAAATGTTTAACTTTTTTTAAATTAAGGTTGCTTAGCACAATTGTTATTAAAGAAGATTGGGCAGATACAAAAACTGTTGTGCCATCTCATTGGGTTGAACAATCTAAAAGTTGCATATTTTCTTTTATTGGAAGAAAAGGAAATAGAAATTTTACAAGCGCTGTTCTTTATAAATGCATAAAAGGTGAGTATTGAATACGAGTTTAACGCTATAGCGTTACTTATTATTAGCGTTACTTATTATTAGCGTAATTTATTATTAGCGTTACTTATTATTAGCGTTAGTTATTATTAGCGTTACTTATATTATTACTAAATACTGTTAACGAAAATATTTCAGACTTATATATGACTTTCAGACTTATATATGGCTTTCAGACTTATGCAATATATTGCATCTTATATAAGTCTGAAATATTTTCGTTAACAGTAAATAGCAGAACGTGAGTACATTGCAATAGTACATTGCTCATTTTCTGCTTGTACAAATATATTTGCGGTCGCTTTTCAACAACTGATAAATATAATAAAATAACTTCGACAAATATTTTAGTATAAATTTTTATTGTGGAAGTCTTTTAGTTAGTTTTTGGCTTAAAGTAAAGTTTTTGGCTTAAAGTAAAGTAAATTTCTTTACTTTATTTTTAAATTGAATGGTTTTGATTCTTCTAAAACATGCCCTATGATTGACAAACAGTTTTTTGATAAATATTATTTCTTCAGAATCCATTGTTGTTGACAAAATTCCCAGTAAGCACAGATCTTTTTTAAAACGTTTAAAAAACGTTAAAAAACGTTTTCATAGGTTTTTTAAACGTTTTAAAAACGTTCTGTGCTTACTGGGTTAGTCATGATGCAAGCAACATCGAGGGTGCCATTGTTGACAATGAAACGAACCAAAAAATAAAATTTTTGCAATATTGTATTTATATATTTATATTGTCAAAAATATTATTCTTTTTATTTTTTGTAATGATTTGTGTCAATACTGGGATTTAATTATTTATGCAATAACCAAGTTATTATCCTAGCGAGGGTTGGCACATGTGTGGAACTCCTAAATGCGTGTATGTTAAATTTAGGCCCTGTGGGGAAAATAAAGACTTCATGCCTTATATCAAAAGACTCCATTTTTTATAGTTGTTAGAGTCGGTATGAGAATGAGCTAAATAAAATTAAACGTTAAATGTTTAATTTTATTTATTATGATATTTTAATAAAACAAGTTAAACCTGTTTAAAATAATTAGTAATTGTAAATTTATATATTGAGATTTTGTAAAAATACTTTACGCTTACTTTAGGGGTTTGATGACAAGACTTTTTTTCTATTTGCTCCTGTTGTTCTTTATTTTTAATTAAGTTTTATCGTTGAAACTTGTAAAACAAGAACATTGTAAAATGTTTATAAATGACAAAATAAATAATAATATTAAAAAAGATAAAAAAAAAAAAATTCCTCGGAAACAAAGTTAAATAAATTACTATTTGCTATATGCCTAGCAAAAACGCTAATCATCGATTGCATACCACTTCTAGGTACTTTTCAATTTTTTGTTATAAACAATCATTCAGATTTTATCTTGGTCTTTGGTATCCAGACGCTAAGAAAGTGTTGAATAACTTAAGATCTGCTATAAGAAAAAAGTTTATAGTTTATTGCTTAGAACTAACTGCTTTTAGCCTGGAATCTACAATCGAAATGTAGTCTTAGACGCAGTTATACATATTTATTTATTATTTTACATATTATTTTTTTTTTATCACCCAAATTACATGTAAAAAAATACACAAGCCATAAAACTAATAGTTTATACTCGAAGTTGAAATTTTAATTTAGATTCTTCTTGGAGTGTTTTCTTCCATGAAACTTTTAAACAACATTCTCTGTTCTCTGATGTTCTAGAATTCAAAGAACTGGTTTAAAGTTTGTAGTTAGATTTAGCAACAACCTCATGACATGGATTTTAAAACTTTATAAAAGTATCTTTAATAACAGAGCTGTGTCGGAGTACTTATCAACTTCCATTTTTATGCCAATAGTAAAATCCTATCAAAAATATCCTAATAGTTCAGATAACGATTGCGTTCTATAGAAGAGTATTTAAGATGTTCTGCAGTAAATCCACAAGAATCACGTGATCTATTGACTTTAGCTGACGAATACAAGATTTAATATCGGAAGTTGATAAGAGTATTTTATTAGGTTGAACAATAAGTTAGAGAGTATTGCGGTGTTCGGAACTGTTGATAGTAATTTTGAGAGCGTTGAGAATCGTATTATAGTTTCTTCAAAATTCTTCTACAATTCCTCTCTATCTTTTTCTCATTTATTGTAAAAATACGAGTGTCCAGACCAGATTTAATTTATCGGATATTGTTCCAAAACTTTTAAAGATTAGTTTTTTGAAGATATTCAATGTTTTTGGAAGTTTTATTGATTTTTAGGTTATGAACTGCTTTTACAGTGTTAAGAAATTATTTAAGAGCTAGCTTGTATTTATTAAATAAAATGGATTCCTGTGATCTGTTAAAGTTACATTTTTTCCATTCCTTAAAGTGGAAAGAGAGAATGTTTTTTGCATACTTTAATTTTTGGTATCCACCATGATTTAGAGTAAACGCAAAACTATTTTTTTGAAAACATTCTTCCATTGCTAAAGTGGCAACATTATTTTTTTTTGCATGTTGTTTGAGCTTGTTTTTGTATTGTTTCTCCGATAAAAGTGTAATCCTTGAAAAACTGGGAGAGGTTCCGATTATGAATATCATTAATGTTGTCATCCTTCCATGCATATAAGAATCCAAATAAGAAAGCTCATTTGTTACAAGAAAATTAGATAAATGCTTAGAAAAAAGGTTTCCTGTTTGGTTATTTCAAACTTCCTTGTCATATATTTTCAGGAAATGAATAAAAATTGTCGGCAATTATACACTCTTCTTCAACTTCGTATGTGTTAATGATGGAGGCAATTATACGAAGTTGAGATAAATATTGTTTTAATGATTCAGAAGTATTTCTACATGATATAAGATAAACTCCAAGAAAAAAATGTGTTCATCTTCGTGTATTACGTGAAGAGAAAGCAGTAAGTTTTTAAGAAATAAAAAAGCATTTCCCCCTAAAGGTCTTCAGTATTCTTTCTTTGCACCAGAGTGAAAAAATAATTGATGTGTCGGAGTTGATAGATCATGTAAAATAAATCGCTCGGCATTTGAAAAGCAGTACTCGGATAGAAAAATTATTTTAAAAGAGTTAATTAAGGTAGAAATATAGCATGAGTTTAAAACTTATACGCACAGAAACTAAAACTATAACAGTTTGATTATTAATTTATAGAGACGGCATGAGCTGATGTTCCACATCCGATTGATTTACGACGTCAGATTGATTTTTAGTTACTGAGTTATTATTTTGAAGCATAATTTTAGTTCCTAGGTTTTTGCGAGATTTTCGAAATTGTTTAACAATAGTATTTTTTGGATGTGATTTTCGTGACTTTTTATTGTTACTTTGGAAGAGCACTTATATTTATTTTCTCGGTTGAGTGTGACAGCAATCGGCCCGACGCCTATTTCTTTTTTTATGCAGTTAAACAAAAGAGCTTCTGATATGAAATTACAAACTCCTCCAACAAGTATATTGAATTCTCGAACAATACGGCTTCCTGCGATAGAGTTTCTGTTCTTAGCAATTTTATTTCCAAAGATTGGTTCTTTCTTTGATGTAGATACGCCCGGTTTCAAATCATTTTTTCTTTCTTTCAAACAATCTCTATCTATACCTTTAAGTTCATTTTTTTTTGAAAACTGTTGTACTAATGTGGATGTTGAAATTATGGTATCATGGTTCACCATTTTGGGTGGTATTTTAACTTTTTGTGCATTTGTTTAATCAGTGTCATTTTTTTAAAATTTATCCTCTACGGTGAAGGAGTGATTTGTTTTATGTTGCGTATGATTTTGAGTTAAGGAACGAAAGTTTATTGATTTTGTAACAATAGAATTTTCTATTTATTTTTGAAAAAAAACGGATTCATGGTGTAGTTTATAAACGGCTGTTGCTGATTTTTTATAATTTCAGAATTTGATTCTCGGAGTTTATCATATTTCTAATGCAGTATGCGAAGATCTTTCGAATTTTTACATTTTTTGATTGCAGTGTCTTTAAGCGGTTATTAAGTTCTTTTAAATTCGACAAGATATTTCCCAACAAACACAAGACGTCTTTAAGACCGTCTAAATTGGGTCTTTAAATGGTCTTGTCTTTGATTGACGTTTTAAAGACGTTTATTAGACGTACTCTGATAAAAAAATTTTTTTGGCTAGTCTAACTTATCTTTTGTACGTCTTAAAGACGTCTTAAAAAAACTTTTTGGTCGTTTTTGTAAGACGCTTTATCACGTCTATTTATGGATATGCTTAAACATTTTTACAAGCCTCTTAAAGGCATCATTAAAAAAGACTTAAAATAATCTTTTTAAAGACACAAAGTTTTTCACGGCGACATTAAGTATTTTTATATAAACTTTTACTTTTTTTATATAAAGTTTTACTTCAACCAATATTAATTTTCTAAACCATTATTCCAGCAAAAAGTTTTTTATAGGTTTCATTATGGAAACTAAAAATCGAACGAAGCGTCGTCGCTTAAACAAAAGTATATTGGATTTTATTATGAAATTTGAAGATGAAGAAGATGAAATAAATAATATTAGTACACCTGATTTAAATCCTGAACTTAATGCTTTTTATGCTCAACTTGATATACCTTTTGTACCTTTGGTACCTTTTTAAGCCCTAAATAATGATTTAAAAGAATGCCGAGTAACCAGTTAATCTTCAAGTTTGATATAATGCATCACTTTTGTTCACAACAGAAACATTATCAGAGGATTAGACACTGTGGTCAACAAAAACCAAAATTTCTCAAAGCCTTTTATGCGAACTTTTAACGATTCTTAGAAAATACGGTCATTCAGAGTTGCCAAATGATGCAAGAAACCTTTTAAAACCCTTTAAAATTGTTAAAGTAAATAAACACTGTGGCGGAACTTATGCTTATTTTACTATTGCTGATAGCTTAAATTATTTTTTGAATACAAAAAATGTTTTTCAAAGTACCGAGTTACCTATTACTATTAATGTTGATGTTTACTACCTCTTTTTAAATCTTCTAATCTTCAACTATGACCAATACTTGGTCTAATACAGAACTATATTTTCATTATTACACTTTTCTGTGGGGATGCCAAACCAAACTGCTTAGATGATTTTCTTAATGATTTTATTAAAGAGTTTTTATTGTTAATTAATGAAGGTTTTTACAATAATAAAAACAAATTTACACTAAAAGCATTCATATGCGATGCACCTTCTCGCTGTTTTCTTAAATGCATACATGGTCATACAAAATATTACTCATGTGAATGATGCTAAGTTAAAGGATTATACAAAGAATATAGAAATGTTTTTATTGATAACAAGCTATCAACTCCGAGATTAACTAAAGAGTTTGATACCTTTGTGTACACTCAACATCAGAAGTCTCTTACTCCTTTAGCTCAACTTGAAATATATTGTGTTTCTAATTTTGTTTTGGATTATATGCACATGGTTTGTCTTGGTGTAGTACCTTTTTAAAGTCAGGTCCAAAACAATGTAGATTTTCAAATGCCCAAATAAAGAATATATCTGATAATCTGTTAAGCTAACGTTGTATGATGCCATCTGAATTTGCTCGGCAACCACGTATATATATATATATATATATATATATATATATATATATATATATATATATATATATATATATATATATATATATAATATATATATATATATATATATATATATATATATATATATATATATATATATATATATATATATATATATATATATATACCGAGATATTACTTTTATTATTGATATATATATATATATATATATATATATATATATATATATATATATATATATATATCAATAATAAAAGTAATTTCTCGGTAGACAGTGCTCAATACAAAAGTAGAGCAAACATGTATTAAATTAATAATATATTAAATACAATTAGATTTGAAACATAACTCGGAGTTTCACGCTTTATGCGATCATCAGACGTTACAAACAACCGTAACAACAACAAAAATTATATACAAAAATACAATACAGTGTTAGCTTAGATGACGTTAAAGTTGCAAATAACAAGTTTGTTTTCGTGGCGTAGTTTCAAAGATGACGTAATGATATGGTATTTTTCTGTTAAGCAAAGGTTACATAACTTTCCTCCAGGTTTTAATGGTTCCGCCCTATCAATATTTTTCCATGTAAGAATAGGATTTTAAAATCCTTTTTTTTCATTTCCCAGATTTATTTCGAAAGTTCTGTGGTGTTAGCTTTACTTTCGTATTGAAAGGAATTTTTATGTTTGTACCAGCAATCTTTAAAGGTGTGTTCCGTTAGACCAATATAATTAAGACCACTATCCTGCGGTGATGTTTTTACATTGCAGACGTAAATTATATTTTTACTGAGACACATACCTTGCAAAGGACATTGAGAAGGTTGCCGGCAGTTACATGAACAATTGTGTTGGAAACATTAGATAATATTTTTTTATTGTGTGAATTAATAATATTGGTGATGTTAGGAAGACAGCTATAACTAACTTTTAAATTATTCTTATTAAAAATTTTTCGAAACTTATGTGTTTTTAAAAAATGCTTTTCAATTAGATTTAGAAAATTTTTTTGCGATGTTGGTTTTTACATTTTGTGAAAACGGAGGATTAAACCAAATAATGTTTCGTGATCTTGATTTTGGTTTTGATGAGGTAAGGTTTTTTTGAAAACTAATCTTTTCATTATACCCACTTGCTGTTAACGCATTGTTATAAAATGGTGATGCTATATCAAAAACTTCCATGATAGATGAAATATTGCTAATACGGTTAGATATCATAGATGGTATGGATTTAATAATACTAGGTGGGTGGTTAGAACTTGCGATAATGTATAATGGGTGGTCACCTGGTTTTCTGTATGGCTGGAAAGTATTTTCTGTCAGGTTGAAGGTAACATCGAGAAAGTTTACAATTTTTAAGTTGGTTTTTATTGTAAGTTTTAGATTAAATTTCTCTTTAAAAAGATGAACGATGTTTTTCTTGATTCTCTCGGATTGCGGCCCATTAATCCCATGAAAACAGCAAAGGCCGTCATCTCTATATAATCCGACGTTTTGCAACCCATAGACTTGACTTAGAGTATGAAGAATGAAAAGGCCAACTAATTCACATACTTCAGCCCCATCATAACTTCCCATAGTGACGTCAAAATTAGGATCTCCATGTTTTTTGACCCAGATACTATTGTGTTCAGTAAACAGTAAAGATCTTCTTGAGTGATTTATAATATTTAATGTTTTTTCTGAGATTTCCGTAAACTGTTTGGCGTGAATAAGTGAATTTTGAAGTAATTCTTTAGAGATAGAAGAATAGAACTCTTCGATATCGAACTGGACAAAAGTAGAGTTTTGTTTGTCTTAAATATTACGGAACCAATTTATTACGTCATCCGTATTATGCCATTGGTTTACAAGGGTTTACAAAAAACTTATATTTTTCTTTAATTCATTTCTACTTAAATTATGCAAACGTTGCTTGGTGCAGCACAAACGCAACAAAAGTAAAAAAACTGTTTAGTAAACAAAAACAGGCTATAAGGATAATTACAAACGTAGACCGTTTCTCTCACACTAAAACATTATTTAATAAACTTAATATTCTAAATGTATATAAACTAAACCTTTACCATATTCTTATCTTCATGTTTAAACTTGATAAAAAAATATCACCAATGTTATTTAATTCACTTTTTGAAAAAATAAACCACATATACCCTACCAGATTTTCAAAAAACAATTACATTCAATCCAAAACACATTATTCAGCAACCAAATTCTCAATTGCAAATCGAGGTCCTAAGCTGTGGAATACAATATTAAATAATGAGCTGAAATCTAATTATTCTTTAAACCAGTTTAAAACAAAACTTAAGCAATTACTGATGATACATGAAAATGAATTAAAGTTCTTCTAAAAAGCTTTTTAAACTAGCAAACAAAAACAAAAATTAACCTACTAATTACTCTTTAATATTATATTTAATATTTTAACAATAGTCTGCTATTGTAAATGTATTTCTTATCTTATAAGTTTTGAATTTACAAACGATTTTTTAAGTTTTATTATTTGAAATACTAATTACTAAAAATATTGTAAAATTTTATAATTTCAATTTTTATTAAAAAAAGTTATTGTAAATTCTTTTTGTAATATTAATACTTATATATCATCTTATTTTACTAATCAGTTCTTAAATATAAATACTCTTTGAATAACTAAATATTTTAAACGTTATATATTTTATTTTTTACATTTTGTTAAAATATTTTATTTGATGAATATGCATTTTTTTTGGGGGGGGGGGGGGGCTTAATGATAAGATGAATTTTGTCTTCTTCAAGCCCCAGTCATATAAATATTTGTTTTTATAAATTACGAGTGTAAATTATTTTCAATCGGCAAATACAATACTACTACTAAGGGTGGCTTTTTTCACTTTATTGTTGATGTTTTCCAGTAAAATTTTACTCACCTTTCCAAGTTATGGTTTTGATGGATTAATTAATTGACATTTAGTATTGTTGGCAAAATCATCTTTGTGGACTTTTATCGTTATAAACGCGGTATTCATTGGAAGACACTTCATTCTGTTGTCAATATCTAAGTCTTTAGCAATTACTTTTGCCGCATTATTAATGTTATTATATTGCGATTTATCAGATTTTTTGTAAGTTCAGGTTACATTTTCACTAAAAAGTTTATTGT